ATTTTATTAAATATATACTTTGATGTCTACATTTTGCACACACATATGTAGATTTTTTGGTATAAATCAAGAACATTCTTTTATACATGCGTAAAAAATTTCCAATACATGATTGACATTTTTTTATAATGCGATATACATTTTAGTGCACTCTACAAGCGTTGCACACGTAAACCCTGTATGTTTCTCCAAAAAGAAGATAAATCCTATATGTTGCTCAATCCGGCAAAATGCCGCTGCCTCACACAGGCAGTTAGTGAGCAAACTGCAGATGGCCCGGCCAAAGTATTTGTGATACGTTTCCCTTTTTTTGGAGGGGTTTTGTTTGTTTAGTTCACTTTTTTTTTCCAATTCTGTTTTCTCCTAACAAGCGATTTTTTTCTCATTTATTCCTTTTTCGTTTTCCGTTTTTATTTTTTATCTTTACATAAATTTAAAAAATAAGAAAAAAGTTCAGAAAATTCATAAATTGTTTAGAAGTTGAAAAACCATTCGAACTTTAACAAAATGTTAGAAAATCTCAAAAAAATCTCAAGTTCCAAAAATTGTTTCCGCTTTGGAAGATAAGTTCAAATGTTGTTCGCATTTTCAAAATTTGTTTGCAAATTTCAAAAGCGCTCAACTTTTAGAAAAAAAGTATGAGCATTTTGTAAAAACTGTTCACAATTAAAATGTTATCAATTAAAAAAATTGCTCTCGTGTTTGTTTAAATGTTCTTAATCCCCGCAAAATATGTTTTACAATAAATGTCCGTGTTCTTAATATAAAAAGCATGTAAGCATGCGACCTGGAACCCACTTCAATTGAGCATGATTACAGTTGATGATGTTCTCACCACCATGGCTGAGGAAGCGAACAACAAACCTGAAAAATCTATACCTACTAATAAAGCAAGGTGTGTTTCTCTAATTTTTTCATCCGTTCACCATTGAAAAGTTTTTTTCTCTTCAAGGTGGTACTAAATTTTTGTCCGTTCTCTATTAGAAAAGGAAAAACACCCGAATTTCGTACATGGGCTGCCAGCAGTGTGGCCCAGCAAAGCAGACCTGTTTATTTTTGTGCCTACGTAGGTTGCAAACTCTATTGTTTGCAGTGAGCATCAAATAGCAGAAACTTTGCACTTGGCCACAAAGCTGGGCTGACCCATTTTCTTTTTCTTTGTTCTGAGTTATGTTTCTATTTTCCTTTTTATATTTCTTTCTCTTTTTCTTTCCAGTTTCTTTTGCCTTTTTTCGTTTCAATTTTATTTTTCTTTCTCCCTTTTAATTTTAAAAAATGTTCAGAATTTTGAAATATATTCCATTTTGAAAAATGTTCAAACCATTAAATCTTTGTTCTCATTCCAAAATAGTCGCAAATTCGCGTAGCGCGCCCAAGTTGGCTTGAACCATTTTCTTCTTTTTGTTCTATCTTATGTTTCTATTTTTTTGCGTTTCTTTCTCTTTTTCCTTCCTGTTTCTTTTGTCTTTTTTCCTTTCAAGTTTATTTTTCTTTCTCCCTTTTTTAGTAAATTCATTTTTTTTAAAAGTTCATCATATCATTAAAAAATCATTTTTTATAAAAAAGCCAAATTTTTAAAAATATATTACGTTTTGCAAAACGTTCAGAACATTAGATCTTTGTTCTCCTTCCAATATTGGTTCAGATTTAAAAAAAATCCATTTTTTCTTTGTGTTTTCCAAAGTTATTTGAGATTTTCCAAAAAAGTAGCATTTTAAAAATATTCCAACTATGAAAAATATTCATGTTTTAGTGAAATGTTCGTAAATTCAGAAAATTGTCTGAGTTTTAAGAAAAACATTTTTAAAAATTGTTCTGAGTGTTCAAAATGTGTCTCATTTTTAAAAAACAATCAGAAATTCGAAAAATATTCATGCTATAATAAAAGGTTCATGTTTTCAAATAAAATTGTGAACTTTGAGCGTTTCAAATTTTGTTGTGTATTTCTGACAAAATGTAAAGAATGACAACAAAAATATTTGGGATTTTCAAAATTATTCATGTTTCCAAGAATATTCAGCAATTTGTATATTTCTTAAAGTAATTTTTTTTACCAATCTGACATTGGAGTATGATCTTAAATCTTTGCGTTGCCCATTGGTTGGTAGGACTCGTGTCCTCGAGTGGCTAGCAGCACGTAGTCGGGTCTTTGAGGTTAAGATTTCGATCCTTCAACTCATCATTTTTGGGATTTTTTCGCGCCTTACAAACACAGGTCGTCTTGGAGCCTATCAGTGTGTTGGCCCATACACGAACTGATGTGCGTCCCACGCGCTATTTTACGCATCTAGCTTCATATAGTAGCCCTCGCGCAGTTGGCCCAAGAAAAAATTGCTTCATTGCACATGCAATATTGGGCCTTAGCCGCACTCCCCTACTGGGTCCTCCGAGGGAGAAATTTTTTTCTTGGGCCAATAAAAGAGAAGATGTTGGTATGGCTCGAATAAAAAAATTATGGGCACGTTAGTGCTAAAATAATCAAAAAGAATAAACCCTAATAAAGAAGGGACAATGATGTCTGGTTATGCGCTAAATATGCTAATGAAACGGGATATATGCACTACAATTAGTAATCCATCCGGTTACGCAATCGTAAGAGAGAGTGGTCAAATCAACCGTGCCCTGAAGGTCACCGCATAGCTACCAAATGAGGAGGCAGACACAACCCCGAGACTGAGGCGGACCCAGAGGAAAAAAATCCGCGAGCTGGATGGTTGCCGCCACGCCAACTAACCCCACCAATATCAAGATGTCATGGGACAAATATGACCCGCGAGAAGACCACAACTCCTCTCTATCACACCGCTATGGAGATCGTTTTTGATGGACAAATCAATTATCTCTCCCATTGCTTCTCGCAAAGAAAGAGCTCTCCCGTCGAAACGCACGGGCATATGTGCTAGTAAATTTAAAAAGAAGTCTCCTCCAATCGTTTTCCAACCGATCGCAGTAGACGTGCACGTCCACATGCCAGCATGTGCAGAATATTAGCAATTGGCCCAAAGTGGCCAACCAGTAACCGTCTACAGCGGGAGTGCATGCATGAGGCGTGTGCAATAGCTTAGACAACATCTGTTTATAGTAGTTGTCCATGTGATCTGTAGACGCCTCCTAAAATAGTGTAGACACCTCCTAAAATAGAAAGGTATGTTTATCTGTTTGTAGAAACTGACAGTTAGGCCAGAATTAGATGAAACTGCTATAAGTGTTGCTTGTTCGCTTGCGTGCAGTTATGGGTGAAACTGGCGATAAAAATGGTAAGTTGCAGACATTCCCTCATAACTGTGCTTGCATAGTTGCATACATGCATATACACTCATATCTATGAACGCACGTATGTACATCATCACAGGTGCCTCGTAATTGAATGAATATCGAGAAAAAGTCTGAAATAAATCGAGAGAAAAAGGCGAGCACTACTGCCAAGTCTAGGACTTGGACATGGAACCTAACTATATGAGATACTACTCTTAGTTTGTGCTACGTAGGGATTTGACATAATTAGATGGTACTTCCTCTGTAAAGAAATATAAAAGCGTCTCGATCACTACTCTTATATTTCTTTATGGAGGGAGTACTCCATTTTTCTAGACGGGCTACTCCTCAATCCTATTCTTTTTCCTCCAACTATTTTATGTGATGTTCATTATAGATAGCTGATGGTGGATTGTTGTCTGACTCCCTTAAGCGGGATGCATGAGACAAGACAAGCCGTGTGAAGGTCATACATATCGGTGGATGTCTTACTTGTTACTTTTGTGCTAGAACTAAACAGTGTGCTCAACTTCTCATGCATGCATGATGGTTCTCCATATTTGTCTATCATAGTCCTCTTGCATGATAACTACTAGAAATAAAAAAAATGGAATTGTCAAGTATTTAGTCAGCAAGAAATTGGCATTTCATTTTGGTGGTACTTTCTCGGGTACTCGGTCTTGAACTCAGGAATGAAAATCTTAGGTCTGAGCTTAATTTGTTGTACCTCATAATGGTAATTTTGTACTGCTCTTTGTTGAAAGCCAAGCCATACCATAAGCATGTGCACATGCACAACCCCCCAAATCAGTGGGAACCCAAATTTATTTATTTTTTGCTAAGCAGTGGTACGGCTAATTGGAGTTTATGTGTGCATCATCATGTATTACTAGTACTAACTGGAATAGTAGCATAGTGGGAAGACATGGGAAAAACACATCACACATCCAATATTATGTGGTCAATGGTGACCAGAATATGGCTGACGATTCTGCAGTCTCCAAGACTACAACGAACATTTCATTGCCAGTTTTAAACTAATAAATTATGAATAAAATGAATCAACAGAGGAGGAACCCCGTGAAATTTGATTAAGGTAGAAATGGCCATGAGATACGGCAAAGGCATACCACCATCTTACTACTAGGCTACAACCCAGTACACCCAGATGGTTCTAGCTAGCCAAGAGCATGCAAGGCGATCCAGACATGGAGCTACTGAGACAACCAGCAAAAACTAGACTCTCTGCCAAAGCTAGGGCCTAGGGGAAGCCAGGTTAGGTTCACTCACGGTTTTTGAGTCGATGAGTCGTTCTGACGTAGACTCATGACAAGTCGAGCCTGGCCGATCGACTAGCCGCGACTAGTCGAGGGGTTTCAGTCAACCCTGGCAGTGCGAATTGTTCAGTAACACTTGAGATATGAAAAAGTTTGAGAACATTTTAGATATGTGATATGTCATCCAATGTAATTTACCGAAAGGATACTTAGCCCTCTTGCATGATAACGACTAGAAATAAAATAAATATAATGGCCCATGTCTTCATTATCTTTAGAAGAAAATTGTGGTGTAGTTCGTTAGCAAGCAGTTGGCGCTGAGATTCCCATCAACACATGACCCACGTTGCTGCTTTGTTCCAATTGTCCTCTGAAACCAATCCTCCTCCCCTCCGTATAAATATAAACCCATTGTGATTCTTTTGACAACATCCAACATTCTCTCGAGACAAGCAAAAGTCCACGGCGATGATTGGTGAAATGGATGTGGATAGTGTTGTAGACTACTTCAGGGGCAAGAGCATCCTCATCACTGGATCAACGGGGTTCCTAGGAAAAGGTATATGTGTTCATTAATCATGTGTGTTGAACTGCTGATCATATCCGAGAGTCTTGTATATTATTCTTTCTTGCATGATTTGTGGATAGTGCTTGTTGAGAAGATATTGAGGGTTCAGCCTGATGTCAAGAAGATCTTTCTCTTGATTCGGGCCTCCAATGTTGAATCCGCAAAGTTTCGGATTCAAAATGAGGTGAATTATTTGTTTCAAGCTGTCCTTTCTGCTAACAGTACACTTTCTTGACATTGATGTCAGTATGTTCTTGACAATCTGTTGTCAATTGAATACTGACCTTCTCCCACCAAGAAATATAGAGGTAACATGTGTAAGTGCATTGTGGAATGCAGATATATATTTTGCAATCTATCCATCTTTGTGTGATCTGAAGGAACCTCTTGACAAACATATTTGTG